AAATACTGTTGATTTTATCAATTCAGATCAGATGTGGTTTACAGAAGCCCAGACACAACCTCAAAAAAAGTGGTCAGCAGCTAGGAAAGAATGTCTTTCTAATATACCACACCTTGGCCCGTACATACTCTGTCTTCAACTCCATTCGTGTTCATCCTGTATCACTCTGCAACCACACCAAGGTGTGGAAGAATTTCACCACTGATCTGATCAACATTTGAAATGTTCCAAACCACACTATAAGCCTCAGCTGATCTTGGTTCCCTTCATCTATGCAGGATCAATTAGTATTTTTGCTGTCTGTAAAGGAACTAATTCAGTGGAGCCCACTGTGTATACATCAGAAAAAAACTAAAACAAGTGCCTAAGTCATTTCACATTCCCACTGAGAAAAAAAAAATCTTACCTTTATGAGAAGGTGGATTAGAACTAGAAGAGGGCTGAATCTCATTTCTTACCCTTGTCTGCCTTTAGTAACTCCACCAGTATTGCCTTAATGCAAAGGCTTTTTTCAGCTATTCATCTGAATAAGCATATGGGGAATTTTTTACTGCAATGCTTTAATGAGAGATAAGGCATTCAGGACAGCTGAAAGAATTTTTTGGTTGGAGTGTTAAGCTCAGTGCTTATGGTAAACAGTGCTGCTCATAAGACAGTCCCTTGTGTTCTAGCGATACATGTCTGATGATTTCATGTAACGTGTCAAACTCTTCCTTCTGGTAGATATGCATGACTTGCCATTACCCTGAGTAGAATCCAGTCTAATGGCAGGCAGTAATTTACAATGGCATCTTTTTATTATTTCACTCGTTATCTTTCTGTAAGAGAGCAATCCTTTGTCTGATTGTAGTTCTGAAGCTGGTCTGGTCAGACAGACAGGCTCTTGCATTGCTCTGAGCTATAAAAATCTTAGCAGGCTAAATAATTCAGGTGGCTATTAGTTAATAGTTGTTTCCCCTGGCTGCCAAAACAACTTGAGCTTGCCCTGAATCTACGCTAATAAATCAAGCAGCCAGCCTGCTCAAATAAAATCACAGGACAATGAAATTATTGTGCTTGGAGAGTCTTTAGCTGTGATTGAGATAGAGAAGTGATAACTTCATTAGAGCCAAAACTAAATGAAAATATGTAAAATTCAGATTCTGAGGTTAAGTTCTTCCTGATACTGAAAAAATCAGTACGAAACATACATATCAGTATAGTATCCCTCTATTTCACATTATTTTTCTTCCAAGTTTGTTTTTTTTTCGTTATAAACTATAACCTTTGTATTCTGTGAAAGCTAAGTTCTAAAGAGGAGGAAAAAACAGATTTTTTTTTTTTTTGTATCTATCTAATCCCATCTCTTCTTTGGTGACCCTGTAGCATTATCAGATGCAAATATGCAGGGACCAAAATCTTAGGATCTGCTTTGACTGGGATATGTTTTCCACTAACTCTTGTACAGTAACAATCATCTTTATCATGGTATCAGCATTTAATATCCTGTATAGAAGAGGGTAATCATGTTTAGTTAACAATAGCAATTATTTATACTTCTTTGTCTTTGAAGTGTTTTAAAATCAAGGCAAACTTTCTTTAAGGTTGGTTCAACATACTTTCACAATAAAATTAAGGGAGAAGAGGCATCTAAGATTTTCCCATCCTTATTTGAATTTGGAAAGCCTCCTCCTGCCAAGGCGAAACACTCTGTCAACCCCATTGGGCATTAAAGTTTTATGTCTCCTGTATACATGTGGTCCACAGAATTTTCCTCTGTATTATCTAATGAAACAAGAGGGATTTCCTCATCATTTCAGAAACACGTTCCTAACGGTCATGCTCCATCACTGGCTTGGATCTCCTTGGGTTAATTAAAACCACTTATATTTTTCTGAAAACACCACTGTCCTCGCCTACCAAGATAAAGCAATACTCTGCAGGTCTGAAAACAAACTCTCCCTTTTCTGACTGGGTGTGAGATGTGTGCGATTAGGTAATAGATGAACAACTGCTGACTGCCAGGTATGAGCTGGGAGCCAAGAGGGTTAGAGCTCTGCTGAAGAGAAACTACACCTTGGCAGTAATGAATTTCAGGATATTTTAATCAAAATGTTGCCAACATAATGCAGCAAGTAAATGAAGAATAACACTGCAAGTAAGAACTACTGAATTCATAGACGAGGAAGGTATTCAGTAATACTAGGGCTACAAATGATGGATGAAATGATTAAGCTGTTAGTTTCACTCACAGATAACCACTGTATGAAGGAGCAGCGTTCACTTAATTTACTAGTGTTTCAGGAATTTAGTTCTTAATGGAAATGCCTGAGCATCTGCAAGTGGGAACTTCAGCATGAACTGGAGTTTGCTATAAAATAACATTATCATTTAGTCTTGTAAGGTGCTCTTCTTTTTACTAGCTTATAATTAATATACAGCAGTCATACAGTTTCTGTTGTTCTGTGATTAACAAATTTAACACTTGTTTGAATTAGCTAGTTTTTGTTTCTTTCTTATTTGGTTTTCATGATATCGGTTTTCACGTGGATGTTGTTCTGCCAAATTCACTTGTCAGCTTTGGCTAGTTCTTCAAATAATTGGACACTGTTAAAGACTCAATGAAGAGAGAATCTGGTGCCTTTTTCTCATACTTATTTGACTAACATGAATTTAACTCCAGGTCGGAAGTAACTGAAAATTATTGTTAACTGATGAGTTTTCTTCAACCTCCTTTCAAATAATTATGCCTCCATGTAAACTAATTAGTAAACAGATCTCAGTGCACTGAAACCATCACCAGATTTTAAATTAACTAGCCTCTTCCAGAGAAATGCCAGTAGGCTATGGAATATTCTTCTGCAGTGTTGGGCACAGGCGGTGAGATACAGAAAGGCTGGCATTGGTGCCACTGCCCATGTGACAACTTTTTTGTTGTTATGTACGAGGGCTTGAGCATTTAGGGCTGTCGGCTTACTGTCTTTTGTAGATACTAAATTCACAGAATTGAAAAGGAAATAAAGTCACGAGTCCGTTGCCTGAAGCTTGTTTACCTAGGGATGGAAGTGAGGTGCCAACAACCCACCGCCACAGTAAAAAGGGTGTTGCACTTGGAGGTAGGGGTATGACTGCCACATTTGTTAACATACTTAGTCTTTCAGCAGGTGTTTTCAGCAAAATGGTGCACACCAACAGCCTGTACATGATTATATTTTGTTAATAAACAGTACATGAACAGGCTAGTCTGTTTTAGTTATAGTAAGAATTGCATATTAATAATGTGTGTACCTATACACCGAAAATGTCCGATTTACATACATTGATGGTATTTATTTACTTGCAGGGAGCACCTGGAATGCTAATCACATTAAAAAAAAAAAAAAAAAAAAAAAAAAAACCCCCAAAACATTTTAAAAAAAACCAAAAACCCCCCCACAACCACCCCCCACCCCTGAAAGTAACTGCAGCTTAACATCATCCATTTAGTCAGGCTGGTAATTTTTAAAGGAACTCTAGATGTAGAGTGCTTAATGTCATTCTTTCTTCAGGTCTTGCAGCAAATATATATTCACTTCTAGTGTGTATGTAAAAGTAGAAAATGAGGTTTATAATACACATGCCCGATCCTGTTCTTTTAACAAAGTTTGCAAACTTACTCTAGACAATCGCTGTGAGGTATGTTGTGCCAGGTGACACAGTTTCCAAGGAAGCCTGTGCTCAAACTGTTTAAGTTAAAAGGAAAATTTTGACAGAGGGAATGATTCTACACATGTCCCTGGAGTCCCATTAAAATCAAGTCCTCCTTTTATATCCTTGGAACATTACCTGATGCAGTGAGTCACTCTCTATCATCAGGATAGGTTGAATGCTGCAGAACGACACTCATGGACATTAATTTGAAATGTAAGCAGTTGTTCACTTCACTGATGCTGGATCTATTTTAATTCACTCTGCCTGAGCATTTGCACGGAGAACAACATCCTGCTGTCTACACGTATGACTGACAAATAGCTGATATTCTTATACGAAGCTGTATTTGTAGGTGGTCAAGGAAATTCATTGATCATTTACTATTTGTAAATTAAATTAACTTTTTACTGTTTGTATATAAAATTAACTTTTTATTCGGTGGGGAAAAAAACTATAAATGAACAGGAGCCTCACAATGTCACATAGATGACACCACAAGCAAATGGCAGTTTGCAAATAATGCACCAATGCAACTAATAGTTCAAATGATAATAATTTCCTATATAAAAATACATATATTTGTGGATAATATATAAGCAGTAATAAGGACTAAAATACTGCACTTCTTCCACGTCAATGAATCATAGTTAGGAATAAGGATAAAACTTCTTCCTCTCTTTGCTTGAAGAGCAGAAAGACACCAGCTAGATTTAATTATAACAGTTCTAATGAAAATTTAAAAATGTTGATTAAATGTCCCAAGATTCAGTCAAAAGGCAGCAGGAATACGTCTGGATTAAGATTTTCTATACAAAACTCACATTGGGATTTTGGCATCCATGTTTGTAATTCTTAATGATTACTTTTATTTGCTAGTGTTGCCAAATGTTTCCTGTGCCTTTCTATTTTAATAACTAAACAGCTCCCCATAAATTTGATCTTGCCAAATGAGCTGTTCAGGTTTGCCATATGTTGCATAGATCAAATTGTCTTTTGGTTACTAGTCTGCACTGTTTGTTCTACAGCAAAACCGTGCCTGCAGTTTATAAGCAAACAGCGTTTCAGCTCAGTAAAGGGCAAGACTAAGGTATATTTTAAAATGTGCATGACAGAAAGAAAAAAAAAGACGACTTTCTTGGAGATCATATTATAAACAAGTTTTTGCAGCAATTTTTTATTGACAATTAGGTGCTAATTAAGCACCTAAGAAATGGAGGTCCTACTTTAATTTTGTGTACTTTCTTTTCAGGATGAAAGTTGAAGAAAACAAATGTTCTGATCACCTGGAGATAGTGATGAGGCAGCTCCCAGCAGGATTATTGGGGTACAGTATGAATATGCGCTATATGCCCAGGTAGGTAAAAGGTATCCATAAAACATCAGTTCATGTCTAATTAAAACAAAACAAAAAGATATTCTGGGGGCATAGCAATAAAACTGTAGGGTATCCAGGCCAGCCTCCATAAACTGAGACTGTATTTTATGCACCTAAACAAGTAAATCTTGGTTTGTCGGGATTTTGAAATCATCTACGCAGATTAGGCGAGCAGTCCAGCTGGGTCAAGATGGATCATCTCGAAGATGTAATCGCCCTTATCAACAAGCACTCGACTGCAGAATTCACTACAGAAGTTTCTACATGCTAAAGGCAGGAAGAGCTAACGTGTGTCCAGTCTGCCATGACCTCAGGCAGGGAATATCAAAGCAGCAGAAAGGCAAATCTTCTCTTGCACAGCTCTTTCTCTCCCTGTCTCCCCCATTATTTGTCAAGTAGGAAGACTACGTTAACGTGTCCCATCGACAATGGGGCAGCTGAACTGAGACTGACATTGAAACCTAATTTGCTAGGCAAAGGTGTCAAAATAGGCAATTTTGGAAGTGATGAATGGCAGAGGGCTTAAATATTTTCAATACATTGTTATCAGTTTCACCAGTAAACAGCATTTTGTAAACACCAGCAAAAAAATCATTGCAACGTCATCTACAAGAATAAGTATTATATTCCCTTTCCAGGTAAAGAACTTCTGGCACCTCCTAGTGAGTACCTCTGAGAAAGTCTGTAGCAAAGCTGGGACAGGAACGTGTAGTTCCTTATTGTAAACCTTGTGCTTGGTCCCGTTGCCTGTGGTTCCTTACATACTTCTTTGTAACCTTCCTCTCTTCCCTATTTGTAGAAGTCACTCAGCCATAGTAGGGGGGGGTGTTGCTGGTTTGGTGGCAATTTTTTTTGGTGACATGCCTGAACCAACCCCCTAATCTGTCACACAAAAATCAATTTATAGTATGCTTACACAAGGCAATGGGGCATGATAAAAACATACCTGAATTAGTGCCAGTAGTGTAGCTACTTTGGCTTGATGCTGTCCCCAAAGTAATTAGTCCTGATGAGAGGCTCATTATCTAGGGCACATAGCCACACTAATGCAGCTGCACAGTTTTGAGGATCCACACTAAACAGAATCATAGAATCACTTAAGTTGGAAAAGACCTTTAAGATCATCGAGTCCAACCATAAACCTAAATACTAATACTCCAGATGATACTGTGGATACTATGTGGTGTTAGTTTAGGATTCCTGAGCAAGATAGTCCCTCCCTTACTCATCTCTTACATTATCCTCATTCTCTGATTCCCATCCAACCTGACACACTGTTAAACATTTTCTGATCCATGAGTCATCCTTACCCCTTAGTCATTAGCCCTTGCCAGTGCTAACCACAAATCTTTCACATTTAGTGGACTGTTGCCAATAGTTTTGTACTAACTCATGCCAGTCAAAGGTGCACAAGGCAGATCTAATGGCTGAACCCGATCAGAAAGCATCAAAGGCAGCTGAACATACATAGATAGATTAGGAGATAGTCCCGGCACACAGATCAGACCCTTGGTATTTGAAGTAAATGAATCCCATTCCCCACATTTGTGTCTGCACTCATTGCAGAATTACACTTTTTCTTCCTTTTTTGGCTTCTGATTTTTTAATAGAAAGTTAACGGTCTCCTCATGACCACACCAGTCCAGACAATGCCTTGCTTATAGCTTTGTCCCTTTGTCTCATTCCATTTATATCTAAAGGGAAAGAGTCAAAAAGGAAGACCTGCCTATATCTTACACCAGTTTCTACTTTTATCTCTTCTTGCATCCCACCTTTTATTCTTTTAAGTATTTCCTAAGCACATACTACAAATGTCCCACTTACCTTTCTCCAGTAAAACCACCTGAAGCAACCCAGCTACAAAGGCATTAGCTGCTCTATCCATTCTTTAAGGGATGCCTATTACCAACTCTGAATGCATTTTTGTATTTATCTAATGCTTGTTCTTTCACTGTCATCATCTTTTTCAGGTTAATATGCATTAGACATGGTCCCATTATGAAATCTCGTGATGTAACCAACTTCTTTACATAAACAAAAACTGGCAGAGAGGGAGGAGCATAGATCAGTGCTGTTCAATTGATCCCAGCTCTTAGACCCAATACAGTCACTAATTCTGAGGGAGCTTGTATTTGTTTCTGGGCTTTGTGCTTATGACCATCTCACCATAATGAATGCTGTCCTTAATGCAGAATAATTACTTATTTTGATTTTTAAATGTTCTCCAATACATTTTTGTGACAGGAGGTGAAGAAATGTTCAAAAGGTAACTTTGAAATCCTTTGTGGAATGGTTTTCATTTCACGAAGAATCACTGAACACTACCCAAATTCTGCTAAACACAATGGTAGTGCAACTTGTTGAGGGCATTGCAGGATACATCCCTCAATGGCTGGGAAAAGCTCTTTTAGAGAAGCTCATGATCTAATGCAGTTCTTATCATTGTTCGTGAAGAGGGAAGGACTTGGCTAAAGTAACATCTAATTTACGCAAACACACCTCGTCACCCCACTGTAGCTGGTTTTTTGTTTTGGGTTGGTTTTTTTTGTGTGTGTGTGCTACAAATGAGAACTGGCATTTTTCCAAGGAGGTGTGTCAGAGTTAAACGAACATGGCACTGAAGTATCCTATTTGTTGTAATAGTCTTGCTGGAGACCTGAAGGTGTGTCTCTGCCTTTATAAATACCACGCTGCTTTTACAACTACCTCTGATTCTTTTGAAAGAGGCGAGTTGCATCAGGAGTTGCATTTGGATATCTCCGAGCCTTGTGTGAGGTATGTCTTTTAGTTATCTTACTTTTGCACTATTTCACTTGCAACAGAAGGTTACTGTCACATCATTATTCATTTTAATGTTATTAGTTGCTGTATTTCCAACAGAATTGTAAATACTACATGATGTTCTCTAAAGAGTTTTATGGAGTGAAAAATCTCTGTGTATAGTATAAGGCATGAAGCAAGTCAAGTAAGAACTATGCAAAAGTAGGACCTGCTCACATCTGCTGCACCCATGTATTCTAGATTCTAAATTTATGTAACTAAAGATATTTGCCAATAGTTGAATGTTGAAATAGGTTCCTTATTAGCGTGCCTACACATGAATTTCTGCTTTCTAACACGGAAACTTGGCTACAGAAACAGCTATGATGGAAACATCTGAAAAGTACACTTAGGGATTTAATCAACTAAATATCAGATTTAAACCCTCTACTATTATGGTATGCTCTGATCCTGAAAGCTGCTTCATAAAGAGAAACACCTACAGAAATAAATGTGCTCTGTGCAGACGCAGGTATCAGTTTGATAATAATTTGCTAACTAGCTACATTTCAAAACTGAAGTTGCATATTTGTCCCTTGAATTTGGTAGCTTTAGACACAGCCCAGTATACTGCAGGTGTCTTCAAAAGCAAAAAGATAGTTCTGTTTGTTTAGCAGTCAAGGCAGCAAAGAATGCATCAATAGTTACTTCTTGGTGTCTGGAAAGACTACTAGCATTATTTTTTTCAACAAAAAACTGAAATACTGGCATAACCAGTGAATTAAGATAATTTTCAAGAAATAATTTTGCTTAACTTGAACCAAATGGTTTCCTTTCTGTCTGGCATAGTTTTGAAGAGTAGCCAGAGGTTGGAGTCAAAATAGCTTATGTGCCATTTACAAAATGGGAGATCATGGGAACAACAACTGCTTTAGATGTTATAGCTTAAGATATCCATCTGAGATTGACAAATCCGAGGTTCAAATTCCTTCTCTGACTGCAGAAGAGATTTTAATTAAGGTACCTCAGTCACTAGGCAGTAACACGTCCTGGGAGGACTCTCTTTTGTTCCACATTGCATAGATAATTAAGTAATTGGATCAGAAGGACTTACTCCATAGCCATCTACAGTTCTTAAGGATAATATGTAATGGCTCTAGAGACCAGGTATTATTCACACAAAGGACAGAGGATTTTGCCGGTAACATCATTTTAATAGGTATCAAAGAGCAGTGTAATACCATGTCTGAAATATTGCAATTGTCAAATGGAGTCCAGCATTAAGTGAAAATGTTTTTGTATTTTTGTGTGTGTGTTTGTTTTGAAGGCAGATAACAAGCAAAACAGAGACCATGAGGATCAAAAGCTTTGGACTTCTTTGTGTGTTGATTCTGGTCTCCCAGATGCTACTAGCCAACTGTGAAAGACAGAAGGAAAGGAAAAAGGGAAGACAAGGCATAGAAGACGGTGGAAAAAACCAAACTGAATCTAACCAAGAAAATGAAAAAGGGCGGAAGTCAAAAGGAGGAAAAGCATCTCCTAAAGGCAAGTTTAAAACCAAAGAAAATGCTGAGTGCACCTGGGCAGTGACTGACATGAATGCTATTACTGTGCATGTAGAGTGCAAGCATGGTGACAGCGAGTTCTGGTGCGAATTCTCTGGAGACCCTTCCACCTGTCCACAGTATGCAACAAACCAGAAATCCTACTGGAAACAAGTCTCCCGATCCCTAAAGAAGCAGAAGGAGATCTGTCAAGACCCCAAAAGTGTCCTAAAATCTAAAGTGTGTAGGAAAGGCCCACGAAGCGCTCATCTCAAGTTGACCCTCTCAAGCCTACTAACATCAGTGGGTCCTGCGAAAGGGAACACAAGTCATCATGCAAAAGAAGTTGTTCAGGGTCCAGCAGCTGCCTCTGTGACTGAAAAAAAGCTAGAACACAGTCCTCAAGACTGTGTTGAAGACATAGATTATATTGATCAGAAAAAGGTGGCTGAGGAATACTGTCCAGAAAGCTTGCTTTCCTTCTGCAACTTTTTTATCACAATGGTGCAAGACAAAAAATGCTGAGGTTTCTAAAAAGTGTTTCTAAAACTCTGTATCATGAAAGTCCAGTCTCATCTAAGTTACTGCAAACTATTTCAGATTTTATTCTCCTGTTATATAGTGTATATAAGAAAAAAAGGCATATATTTTTCTGATTTCGTATATGCACAACAGACTAAACTTGACATAGTTGAAGATGTTATAGATTTTATTTGCACGTAGATTGCTACAAAGGTGTTACCAATGGATGTTACGTACTCTACACAGAAGTATATAAGTAGTCTCCTTGCCCCTCTTTGAGCTGTGCTAGCCAAAGTGATGAATTCAGTGCTATGCACTTCTTGGTTATTAACAATACTTTTGACTTAAAAATTATTAAGAAAAATAAACTTCAAAATATGTTCAAAATATTCTCTCTCTGTGTTTAACTAGATTTCTCTGTACGTGCTAAACCTTTGTCAAAGATTGATCTTTCACAGCATCTAGGCAAAGTGTTGCTTATAAAGCAGTTTTAAAAATACTTCTGCAGCTTTGCAGACTTCAGGTTTCTCAGCCAGTGCAAGAAAGATTTTGATAGAGAACTACATTATCATTGGTTTTTCATTATTGTGATAATGAAGGGCAACAAGATGTTTAGATTTTTCCATAATTTTGCAAAGCTTCAGCTTTCCAATCTCATCAAAGGATGCCAGAAAACTTTGCAAACTTCAATTCTTTCTTTTCTCCTATAGTATGAAGCAAGTTATACTAATTTTCTGGCAGGTAAACAGAGATGCAGAGATAAAATGACTTATACAAGTTTGTACATAGGCCCAGGACTGGACCCCTTACTCAAGCAGCTAAAGCACTTGTGCTCAACACTGCCTGGATGTTCTTTTGAAGTTCCATTTTCTGTTATCTTTATGTATGGACAACACTTAAATACTTTTACTTTTTTATGTATTAGACTTCATCTGTATTTAAAAAAAAAAGAAATCCAAACTCTACAAGAATAGAGATTTTAGAAAATGTAAAGCTAAATAATAACAACTGAGCTTTGCTAATATTTGAAACTCTAGCTGGAAGAAATGTAATATACAAGTTACACTTTTCTGGTGGCACACAGCTGGGAACGATGGTCTCCTACCACAGCGGTCCACTTGGAGAAACTTGAACTTTCATGAAATACAATTTTCCTGAGCATTTCTAGCAAATTAAAATAATATTTCTGTTTCTTGAGAAAATATAGGCAGTTCCCTTCTGTAATTATCTCACTGCTAGAATGTTTGAGAAAATATTTGTAAGATGTTATGAGTAACTCACCTCCTGCAACTTCCCTCTTTTCCTTTGTTGTCACATATACTCACTTTTTTATTTAAATGAGCATGTCTGGGGAGGGCATTTTAATGCTACTCTGTCTTGTTGCTACAGCAATAAAGGCCCTTGCCATTATTTAATATCAGTTAGTATTTTCTTTGCAATGAAGAATTAACTTAGCAAAAATACTTAAATTTAGATGAAAGTCCTCAATAAGAGAGGAAAGTGCTACTAAACACACAGCTTTGCATTTTTTTTTGCTTGTTAGTAGGAATCAAGCCTTCTTACACAAGGTTGAAATGATTTTAGCAGCATCGGGAATAAGGCATGGCATCAGCTTGGGCATTAGCTACAGTATTTTAAAGAGGACAGTATTCCGGAGGCTCTCATAAGTACTTCATATGGTATTCATTTACATTACATTTTTTTGCTACTTACAATATTGCGATCTCCATGTGACTAATAGCTTGAAAGTGGGATGCTGCTACTAGTCAGGCAAACTGTGTTTGAGAAGGATTCAGCTGTATTTTACCAAGTCTGAATGGCAAAAAAAGAAGCAGGTTCTTCTTACTGAATTTCCAGCCTCTGCACGCCCTGTGGAAACACTGGGTATTACCAGGCTGTGCAGGATAAATTCTGTTAGACTGATGCCCACATCAAAGCAAAATTCCAGTAAAAAGGGGCATCAACACTAACTGCTATGGAGGCTGGAAGACAGAGCTATTCTGGTGCCAAGCAGGGTGGAAAACCAGCTACCAGCTCCTTATTATTAAGGTAGATACGTAAGTATTGAAAGTGCAGGTGAGTTCCAGCTGCTAGACACTTTGTGTGTTGGCCTACACCACTTCGCATTAGGAGATCGTTGAGATAAGAAAGTCAAAAGACGCAGAGGAAGGATTAGGAGCACACATTTGGCTCAAGCAATCAAACACTGTAGCAATTAATTATAAGTATCTAATCTGGTATACAGACACCTGTATAATAGTCCCAGATAACAACCAGAGCACTGGGCAGGCCTGGCTTAAGAGGCTCAATTGCTCCAGATGTTTTGGAAAATGTCCAATCCTACCTTCCCTTAGCTGCTGTTACCCTCACAAGTACTAAGGTAAGTACTTTGTTGCCTGAAGCATGATCCGCCCCACTCTGAGTTGCTAGGAGGCACTGCTCTCCCTGTGGCTGCCAGCCAGCCAGGCACACCGAGTTTGCAGTGACATATCCCAGAGCAAATTCCAGCTCGGGATTCCAGAGCTGTGAATTACATCTCCCGTGTGGAGGACTGTCAGCACCTGGACCCACATGTGGGAGCTGCACGCTCCTCTCCAGGGATGCATTACATTTCTGCTGCTTCATCTTCTTGTTTTCTTTCAGGACTGACTTCTACCTTCATGCATGGCTCTTTGCAGGAGGAAAACATGCTCAATCTCAACAGTTCCTGGATGCGTTTCACCTGTGATGCATGCAGTTGTGCCAGTATCCTACAAGGACAGTGTGGAGCATCAGGAGAAAAAGGACATCTCTGTGCAGCCTTTTTCCTTGAAAGGTGGGCTAGTGTGAGAGTGCAGATCTCAAAACTGTCTCGACCAAAGGATGGGATTTTTAACGTCCATGGGTATGTAGTTTTGGCTGTTCTTCAGAAGGGCACATTTCAGAATAGCAGGGTCTGAGGCAAATATATCTGGAGTCTAACTTCATGAACAGCCTTTTCTGTAATTGCACAGACCACAAGTCTATGGCTAAGCGCATCTAAGTTCTCATTGCACTTACCAAGCCTTGCGTTTCAGTCCTACATCTACAAAGCAATCACTTGACAGCAATTATGTATGAGCTGCTTTCTTCTGGGCATTTACAGAGCCAGTTAGGTCAGTATAACTTTGGTGCTTCTGGAGTCAAGCTGGTTAGGATAAATAAAACATTTCCTGGCATTCTTCATCTTAGGATCTGTGGTCATTATGAAAAAGTTCACAGCTGAGCTCTATTCTGTGCCTCTTTTCCCCAGGTGCACCAGTTGTCATTGTGTCAGAACTTCACGTTTGAATAACTTGGAATAATGGTGGTAGTGACTTTTCTAACACCTTCTATAGTAGGGCAAGTAGGAACACAGTGAAGGAAAACAATGAATGGATTTAAATTATGTCTGTGCAGCCCAAGTCCTCTGTCCTATCATATTGAAAACATAAGGATCTCTGCTTTCTTAGTGTCAACCTGAGTTATGGAAAATCAGCCCCATTTTACACCTGGGGAAATGAGGTACAGGAAAACCGAATGGCCTTGACAGTCAAGGGGAGAAAATCAGTGGCTGAATCAGGAACCAAACAGAGGTCTTCAGAGTTCCAGTGGTCCCCTTCTCATGCCTCGTGATTAGATCATTCTGCGCAAGAACTACATGTATTTGTTCTTGAAAATATCGAGCTAACTTCTAGGTATTTTAAAATTATTAGGAATATCTTTGGGAAAAAGTAGCTTACTTTCTAGGCAATATAGTTTGTTTCTCCAGACAGCCCTGGATATTATAATTTGAATATTTACTTGGAAAGAAGGATAGGACACTCATTCTAGCTTCAGAGAGAAAGAATTTTCAGGGAGTTTCCCTGCTCTTGCAGTATGGAATACTTATACATTTGGTAACTGCTTTAGACTATGGATGATCTTTTTAGGTGGACCTAACCCCCATACACTCCCACAAATTCTCAAACTCTCACCAAACTTTGGAGAGTCAAGAAATGTATTTTTTAAAAAAAGGGAGAGAAAAATTTAAAAGTAAGAGTTTTTCCAAAGTTATCTCCTAACACATGACAGTCTTATCTAGAAAATATTAGATGTATCTTCATATTCACTTAGGAAATGGGGAGACATTTTTAATGCCCAGGAAATAGCTCCGGCAGTACTGCTTAAGAATCTGTAAAATTTCATCTCCTTTAGCTGCAAATTTTTTATTCTTTTATTATTTTCTGCAGTGTCTTTTCTATTCACTTTCACACACAACTTCATTTGAATGAGTTTCCGTTCCTTTTGCAACCTTCTTTATTCATTTACCACTTTGGCGACAGTACAGATTACATATCTAATCTCGTATGTTGCATGACTACTTGTAGGAGAATAGAGCTGAGTGACTCAACCGTCCTGCTTCCAGGAGGGCCCTACCCTCCCCTGCCCCTGAGGGGGCCAATGAGTACCTACCGCCTGATATCACCTCACCTGAATTTGACCAATCATAGCGGAGACTGACTGTTAAGACAAGACACATTTTACACGGCCGTGCTCAATCCATGTAGACATAGCTGAACCTAGATAATAAATTCCACTCCCTTTTCCGCCTTTACCTTATTTTTTTTTTCTGATGTTGCCCTAAGCAAGGCAGCTCAATACTTGTTGGTAGCTGCTGCACCTCACCCGTGCCTTTGCCTGGTTTTCATTCCATTTCAATATATTATATTTTTTTTTCCTCTAGGCTATTTCCAAGAGTGATACCACTTTGATTAGCACACTGGGAATTGATCAAATGGAAAAATCCAGCTTTAAGGATGGGAAGTTCAGCAGGTTCCAGCCTGCAGATGTTCCTTGCAGTCTTGTCACTAAGGTGCTGGTACCATCCCATCCCCAGCTGAAGCATCCATGGCTCCTGCCTGTTAGTGCCATAAATGGTATAACAAATCCTACGGATCTCAAGACCACTGTAGGTATTCCTGCATTCTAACATCTCTAAGCTTCTTTCTGCTCCCTCCCTTGAA